ACAGAGTCTTCGTTTTTCAATCGATGTATAACTGGGGTTGAAAGACGGCTGTCTCCAGTTATTGAACTAAAAAATACTGGCGCAGGATGGAAAATGCCGTGAACAAACCCGGGAATATAGCTTGGCGTCATCTCAGGTTCCCGACGACGCATTCAAATTCACTGGCATTGAAGTATTGATTTCTTGGACGAAAGAAATGTATGAAAATTTACGCCTTCATCTCAGGATATTTCGCTGTTTTTTTTTTTAATTTTGATTTTAATTTTGTTTTTAATCGAACCCCGGGAATGGCCTGGGGCATTACAATACCAGTTAACCATTTTGACCAATTCTTGCAAAAAATAAGACTTCGGCAACAGTAACTACTAGTATATTGCTTACAGCAGACGCCGCTTAAATTTCAACCCCACCACGAACGTTGAACGGACTGTCATCCGGGTACTTTGAGAACGCCCTCTATCGAATTTCGTGCGAAAAATAGTAACTCGGAAATTAGGAATTAATTCAACATATCAAGATATTTTTAGATATTTTTTTTTTCAGATTGGTTGATAACTTATCGCACATGCCTTTGGATTTGAAATTGGGAAATAAATAATTCAAGGTTATGACACAAAACACCAATCTCCCAGGCAGAGTTCTATTCCACGAATATATCTCTGCCACCATGCGATCTTATGCTTGTTGTTGATTGGTCGATGCGTCACAGCGGTACTACTTTCAAAGACGCTCACCAAAACATTGCCATGCAAGTGTTCGATTTTTCGAACCCGACGAATGTGTATCGTTGTTTTCAGATTTTGGCTGTTTTCAAAGTTAGAAGCTTCTTTTTTTCTTTCTGTAACACAAACGGTGTGACAGTGGGACGATTTAGTCGTTAATACTATGAAGTGCTTTCGTTTGTTCATATTTCTTCGCATGGCAATGACAGGACGGTCAGTTTGATTAACCGAGTAACACCTTAGTAACCGTTATTCCGCGATGAAATTATTTTCTTTTGTAAATTATAACTATTTCACCGTTTTCAGTATGTTTACGAAAAAATCATTATCAGCTATCGATAA